TTCTATCCCTTTAAATCAATCAGAAAGTCCAAATGTGGAAGGTTCTGAAAATGTAGATGTCACTGAGAATGTTGTGACACCAAAAGACAACATTCAGAACCCCTCTGAAAAGGCTGTTGATCCACCTATCATTGATGTGGATGAAGATTACTCAGATAATGAACTGATTGCTAATGTGAACCCTAGCATAGCTAGGAGATTGATGAAAAGAAAGAGTAGTCAGAATGATAAACCTGATGCTAAGAAATCCAAGGCTGAAGGCATGGCTGAGAAAAGTATTCAGACAAAAGGGAAGAAGGCCCAGGTGCATACTGCTAGACAACCAATCTCTAAGAAGAGTAAAGAACCTGAAACTTCTGATTCTGATGAGGAATCAGAATTTGAGATTGATATTGAAGAAACTCCAATCAGAAGGAAGCTCCCCTCCAGCAAGATTGCTAGAGTGCCTGAAGTGCCAACAGACAACATCTCTTTTCATCATCCTGACAATGCAAACAGATGGAAGTATGTTTGCTTAAAAAGAATAGCCTTAGAGAGAGAACTCAACAATGATGCCTTGGAGTGCAAAGACATCATGGATCTGATCAAGAATGCTGGGCTAATGAAGACAGTGATAAAGTTTAACAAATGTTATGAAAATCTGGTCAAGGAGTTTGTAGTGAACTTGTCAAATGATTGTGCTGATGGAAGGTCAGCTGACTTTGAAAGTGTTTTTGTTAGAGGAAGAAGGGTCAAGTTCTCTCCATCAGAAATCAACAAGTTTCTTGGAAGAACAAATAAGGAATGTCCTGATCTAGAGGCAACTGACAATGAAGTTTGTCTAACCATCACAGCCAGGCAAGTAAAGTGCTGGCCCTTGAAAGGGAAGCTGAATGCTAGTAAACTCAGCATGAAATTTGCCATCTTGCATAAAATAGGTGCAGCCAACTGGGTGCCTACAAATCACAAATCAACTATCTCCACAGGATTGGGGAGATTTATCTATGCTGTGGGAACCAAGACTGCTTTTGACTATGGGAGGTACATCTTTGAACAAACTTTAAAGCATGCTGGCAGTTATGCTGTCAAAGGACCAATTGCTTTTCCCTCCCTCCTTTGTGGAATCATCCTTGCACAATACCCTGATATCCTTGTGGCAAGAGATACAGTCTGCAAAAGAGCTCCTGCCCTTGGCCTGCACTACAAACTGTTTCAGGGATCTCATGCTCCAGACATTGTCATAACATCAGCTGAGACATCGTCTGTAAAGACTCAGTCCAAGACATCAGATGTCATAGCTGTTTTAAAAGAAACTTGCAAAGAGCTGGATGCTAGAAAAAGGACCCTAGAAATTCTAATTGCCAGACTAGAAAAGGAGGAAGCTGAAGAAAGCAGAAGGGAAGAAGGTGTAGAAGCTGAAGGACATCTCAACATTGAAGAAACTAGCTCCTCTGAGTCTGATGACAGTGCTTGAAGGTTGATTGCTGTTTGGTGGTGTTGCTGGTTGGTTGCTGATATCTGGTGGAGTTTGGAAGTGTATGCTGTTGTTTTCTGCTGCTGCTCTTATTATTTTGTTTTGGATAACTGTATAATTTTATGAACTAAGTGTATCTTTGGCCCATTTGTGGCTAAAGAGGGGGAGAATATTTTGGTACTTACTTAATTAGTACTTGACATTCTATTTTTCTGCTGTCACTTATTTCTGCTGCTATCTATCTCTGATTGTTTAGGGTCTTTAGCCAAAAATCTGCCAAAGGGGGAGTTTGTAGGTGTTTAGGTATTGGCTTGCATTTTTGGTAAATCCCAAGTGTATGTGTGAATGTCATGACTGATGTCATAACATTCTAGTTCAGTTTGTACTGACTCATTAGGTACCTTTGCAGAAAAATATTGTAATTCAAATACTGATGTTTATAAATGTGTATCTGAGCATTTTGCAAAATGATCACATTTTGCTAAATCAGTAGACAGGTTTTCTCAGATGTCATAACAGATGTTATGACATCCTGTTCTGAACTAATAGGATTGCAGGATTGGATAAGTCTGAGTTTTTTCAGGAAATAACTCAGTCCTTCCTGAACAGAATCCTGCGTTTTCTGAGGGGTAACCTAGCTCAACCCTAACCTGGTTAATAAAGTCCTGTGACCTGGTCTTTAGGTCAAACGGAATTAACCCTAGATTTTTGGAAACCCTAACTGAAGTTGCAGCTGCTATATATTCAACAGAGCTGCTGTTTTTCAAGGATGGCTTTTATTTGATTAGAAGATCATTTGTAATCTGTATAGATTTGATTATTGTACTCCAAGCAATTATCATTGTGATAAGTGCCTTGGAATAGGTTTCAAATTGTAAAGGTTGTGTAGCACTCAAAGCTTTGAAGCAAGAGTGTTTGAATGTTCTTTGACTAAAGCTGTGAAGCAGAGTCAAGTTAGTTGTGTGCGTCACTCAAAGCTGTGAAGCACGAGTGATTGTGTTGCTTGATTAAAAAGCTGTGAAGCTCAATCAAGTGTTTGTTTTTGAAGAGTGTCTTCATCAATTCTTAAGTCAAATTGGTTTATGTATCACTGCTGTGATTGAGGGGGAGTGAGTAGGAACTCAAGTTTAAGTTGTACTTAGATTGGAATTGCATTGGGTAGGTCTTAAGTGAAGGAGATAAACTGGTTGGTTTATTCCTGAATTAAAATCTCTTATAGTGGATTTCCTCCCTGGCTTGGTAGCCCCCAGAGTAGGTGTTGTTGCACACTGAACTGGGTAAACAATTGACTGTGTTCTTTATTGCTTTTGTATTTACTGTCATATAGTAAGTCAGATACGGTGTCATAACATTGAACGTGACATTGAGTATCTGCAGCCAGAATTTCAGTTTCCTAAGGGAGAAGGAATTTGTGAAGTGCACAACTGAACATGGAGTATATGTGAGAAGAAGCAATAGTGAATTGCTTATACTATGTCTCTATGTAGATGATTTATTGATAACAGGTAGCTGCAAGAGTGAGATCGAAGACTTCAAAGGTGATCTCAGCAAGGAATTCAAAATGTCTGATCTGGGTGAGATTTCATATTTCCTTGGCATCGAATTCTATAAGAGCAGTAGAGGTTTGATGATGCATCAAAGAAGATATGCAGGAGAAATTCTTAAGAGGTTTGAGATGGAAGAATGCAACTCAACTTCGACACCTGCAGAACCAAGACTACAACTGTCGAAAGATGCAAATGAAGATGATGTCGACCCAACCCAATACAGAAGACTTATTGGATCATTGAGATACCTTTGTCTTACAAGGCCTGACTTAGAATATAGTGTAGGTATGGTAAGTAGATTTATGCAGAAACCAAAGGTATCACATCTAGCATCAGTGAAGAGGATACTGAGGTATCTCAAAGGAACTCATGACTATGGCATTCTGTTTCCTGCAGCTGACAAAGGAAAATAATGTAAGTTAGTTGGATACACTGATTTGAGTTGGTGTAGTGATGCTGAAGATCGAAAGTCAACAGCATGATATGTGTTTATGCTAGGTGGTGCATCAGTTTCTTGGAATTCAAGAAAGGAACCAGTAGTGGCATTATCATCATGCGAAGTAGAATACATAGCTGCTTCTCTTTATGTATGTCAAGCAACTTGGATGGTGGACTTGGTCAAAGAGATAACAGAGAAAGATCATGGAGCAATTACCATGAAGATTGACATCATGTCAACTATCAATATGACGAAGAACCCAATAGCACATGGTCGAAGTAAGCACATCAAAATAAGGTTCCATTATCTTCGAGAGCAGGTAGCTGATGGGAAGATGAATTTGGAACACTGCAGAACTGAGAATCAGATTGTAGACATCATGACGAAGGGAGTGCAAGTCGAAGTATTCAAAAGGCTAAGGGTCATGATGAATATAGATAGTTTAGACACAATGAATTAGGTGGTGTGTTGAATTGTAATTCATAGTGTCGAAAATATTAGATTTGTTTTAGATTTAAATAGATTTGATTTAGATCTAAAATAGAATAGATTTGATTTAGTACCAAAATAGATATTTTGAGCTTTTATAGTTTTGGGTTTAGGGTGCAAGCTAAATCTATAAATGGAGGGAGTAACCTCTATTTTTGTAATCAAGTCAATTAAGTTGTATTCACAGAATTTGCAGTTGCAAGTTAATAACAAAGTTTTCCACAACTTGTGAGCGGAGAGAAACTCTGCAGAGAATATTTATTTTTTCTTCTCATAATTCATTATCATTGTATAGAATTCATTATAGATATTTGGATTTCCATCAGAGACCCCGGTGATAAATTTACTAGTAAGTATTAGTTTGCAAATGATTATATTTTGGTTAGTAGGTTTCAATATAAAATATTATATCAAGACCCATATAATTATCTTATCTTTGAGATAGTGAAAAGTTATAGATGAGGGAGAAATTAATGAAGTTGAGACATAGGACCTATCTTGCTTGTAAGAAATCAAAGTAGTTTGAGGTTTGCAAATGAACTTAAATATCTTAGAAGTTGATTATTATTATCATTTGAGGCAAATAAAATGAATTTATCCTGCATTTTTTTAGAAGTTGATTATTATTATCATTTGAGGCAAATAAAATGAATTTATCCTGCATTTTTTCAATCTCTTTTGCTTCAACTTCAAACAACAACTAAATACAATTTTAAACTATATTTCTCATTATTAAAATCATTAAAATGTAGCAGCTGGAACAAATGGCATCATTCCATCAAGTGTATGGCTGTGGACACATTCTCTGGTCCAGCATACACTTGACGGTTTTTTTTAGCCTTTGAGCTTCAATTGATGATTGCATACAGCCATGGTATTTGAGAAAGAAAATCCTTATCCATTAGTGCAATGTCACATGGTGTTAACATCACATCAAATGGCAATGACCTACTAAAAAAATTGATTGCAATAATTATTAGTGGAAATTCATTTCGAATAATTCCTAGTGTTAAGTAGTGCACTTACAAATATCTTTAAAATGAGATAGTTTGTAGTGTCTTTTCCAATTCCATCAATAATGACAAGACGAGGCCGGTATCACACCAATAAAACCGGTAAAAAGCAAGTTTATGTCCTGTATAAAATGGGGCAGGTTCACGTCTGGAAAAATTCGCGCCAAGGAATTTTGTACTTTGGATTCACCGTCGTCGGAAAACGTTGCATCATCCTCGACACGAAGATACTTGACTTTATTCCTCTGTGGCATTTCATTGAACACTACACATGCATCAATGAAAACAATAATAAAAACATGTATAAATTAATAGAAGCTACTGAAATAATTTGTTTCAAACTTTTCGTGGCTTTGTTTCCTGAACAAGTCAATATTATTATTACGAATTCCTAAACATACCATTCAAATATGATAGAACAAATGATTCAAAGTCAAGTGATTGAACCATTCAAATCTACAAAAAGAATCTATATGTTGTCCTGCAACAAAATGAGATTAAACATTATCAACACCATAAGAAAAAAAAAGAGAAAGTTGAAATTGAATCTATTACAGAATAGTAATCGTCGCCCACCGCGAACTATTGCAGCGGTAGAGTGGAAAGCAAAAAGTAAGTTATTAATTTATCGGGTGATATAAGTTATATTGTATCGTGTCTACAGAGATTGGTTATTGAATTGTCGTTCGATAAATCTCTCGTTAATGAGTTTGAGGATAAATGGGTTTGTAAAGAAAATGTTATCAACAAAAAAAAATGTAAATAAAAGTAAAAACTAAGGAAGAACATATCAAGAATGCATATAATCTACTCATCACAGACTTAAATCTACGACCAGTTACATTCAACCTAACAATACTCATCAATGTCATCACGTATCACTTATAACCTAAGTCATTTCTAACCCAAATTGAGAGACTGACTGTATCACCAAGGAAATGATCTCTCTACCTCCTCAATAACATAGAAGACAACTATGCAATCGCACTGACGATCTCTCAGCACAACACAACCACACAGACATTAAGCTCTGATACCCAAGTAGATGAAAGTTCTAAATCTATCTCTAGAGTTCAGAAACTAACAGATAACCATCCTAGATAAGAATATAAGCCGTATATGTCTATAACAACTCAAATCTCTAGCACAAAGCAAAAATCTAAGACAACAATCCACATAGATTTGTAAAGCAAGTTTAAATATAACGCCATGGGCGACAACTGTACATGAGTTCAAAGTAAAATCATATACAAAATCCAACCGAAGATAAATACACAAAGAGAAATAGAAATGAACCAAAAATCTCCCGGTTTATCAGCGTCGATTGATGATCAATCCATCTCGGATCATCCGTATGCAAGCTCTGAAGTTGTTTTCTACCTTTTCAAGACCGAAAATGGAGGTTTGATGAATTGGGACCAAAAATACCTAAAACATAACCTAAAAAAATGAGATTTTACCCCTTTTAACGTATTTCTGTCCTGCGAGTTTCGTCGGGCGAAACTGAATTCGCCGGGTGAAATACACCAGAAGAAACAACAGAAAATTATGCATTGTTTCGGTCATAATTTGAGAACCATAACTTCGATTTGCACCCGGTTCGAAGTGTTGGAAAGCTTATGTTAGAACAAAGTTTGAATCTACTACCCTAAGTTAAAGTTTTGATGATAACAAAATGCTAGATTAAATAAATTGTATAATTCATATGAGACATATATGCTACCTAAAAATTATATTGTGCATTTACAGAAACTCTGATGGATATCAGCATAAGAATGTCAACATCAGCATCAGAAGATGAAATATCATATGCCAGCATCAGAAGATGAAATATCATATGCCAGCATCAGAAGATCAAAGCATGTGCTTACGCTGAAGCTTGATGAACAGATCTGCGCTTAACATACTCTAAACTCTGATCAAGACCAAAACAATATCATCAGCACCTAGAAGCGTCAGAATAAGCCAAAGCCAATAACACGCTTAATTGACAACGGTATTGTACATTCAAGACACTTTATTACCAACGGCTGTATTCCAAGACAAAGATCTTCTCAATATGGAAAGAACGTAATAGGCATTGAAATGGAATAATTGACTACAACGTATCTTTTCCAAGGCTATATAAACAAGTCAGTGAGAAATGAATAATGCTCTACAACTCTTTACACGCCTAAAGCAACTCATCTTCATCCTCACTCATACAGCTTGCTATATCTCTCAAATTGCTTACTCTACAGTTATAGCATCCTAGTTTCACATAAGCTTAAGTTGTGTATTATCACAGTTGTGATATAAAGTTTTTGTAGAAAACATTCAACACACTCAGTATTCATTTATCTGTAAGAAAGAATTTCCTTGAGAAACCGGTATGTGGTTTAGACTCAAGAAGGCTTTAGCAGTTGTTAAAACAGTTGTAATATTCAGTTGAATATAGTGGATTAAGACCTCGTTGGAGAGAGGCAAAATCACCTTGACGGGTGGACTGGAGTAGTTTGAGATCAAACGAACCAGGATAAAAATATCGTGTTGTCTGCATTTGATTTCAAGTTTTACAATTCAACCCCCCTTCTTGTGTTTTTCACTTCTTCAATTGGCATCAGAGCGCCTGGTTCTGAGCTAAAACACTTAACCGTGTCAGTACAAGATCCAGTGTCAGAAAAACACAATGGCAGGAACATATCAACACACCAGCAATGACAACAATGAAGATAGAGACAGATTCAGCGGCAAACCTCCAGTCTTTGATGGAGAGAATTTTGATTACTGGAAAGACATAATAGAAAGCTTCTTTCTGGCACATGATGCTGATCTGTGGGACATGGTGACAGATGGATACACACACCCAGTGAATGCAAGTGGTCAGAAGATTGACAGGAAGGCAATGTCTGATCAACAAAAGCGTGACTTCAAAAATCACCACAAGGCCAGAACTATTCTTCTCAACGCCATCTCTTACGCTGAATATGAAAAGATATCTAATAGAGACACTGCAAAGAGTATGTTTGAATCTCTCAGAATGACGCATGAAGGCAACATTCAGGTCAAAGAAACTAAAGCTCTTGCGCTCATTCAGAAGTATGAGGCATTCAAAATGGAAGAAAGTGAATCAATTGAAACGATGTTCTCAAGATTTCAAATTCTGGTGGCTGGTCTCAAAGTTCTGGACAAAGGGTATTCTACTACTGATCATGTCAAGAAGATCATCAGAAGCTTTCCAAAACAGTGGAGGCCAATGGTTACAGCGTTGAAGTTAGCTAAAGATCTCAACAAAATCTCTCTGGAGGAACTTATCAGCTCCCTCAGAAGTCATGAGATAGAGCTAGAAGCTGATGAACCTCAGAAGCAAGGTAAGCCTTTAGCGTTAAAATATAACAGAAAATCTGACTCCAAAGTTTTGCAGGCTGTTGAAGAAACCTCTGATGGGTCCTCATCAGAAGAAGACGAACTTTCCCTCCTCTCCAGAAGAGTGAACCAACTATGGAAGCAGAGGCAAAGAAAGTTCAGGAATACCAGAAGATCTGATCAGAATGAGTCCTCCTCCAAATACAGAAGGTCAGACTCCTCCTCTGGATACAGAAGATCTGAAGGTTCGTCAGGAAGCAGAAAGCCAAACACCAAGGACATCATCTGCTATGAATGCAACGAGCAAGGACACTACAAGAGTGACTGTCCAAAGCTTCAGAGGGAAAAGCCCAAAAAGAAGTTTGGGAGGGAAAAGAAGAAGAGTCTCATGGCTACATGGGATGACTCTGACTCGTCTGAAGCTGACTCAGAATCAGATGATGAGAGAGCAAACATAGCTCTCATGGCTAACATATCAGAAGACAGTGAAGCTTCTGAATCAGACACCGAAGAGGTATTCCCTGACTTTGCAATTAATTTTACTAAGGTTGAACTTGCTGAAAGCCTTAACAAAATTCTGGAAAGATATCTGCAGATCAGAGTTAAATTCAGAAACCTGAAAAGGAATCTTGATTCTGACTCTGATAAAACTGAGAGTCTCAAATTGGAAAATTCTGAGTTGAAAAATAAAATTTCAAAATTAGAAAATCTTTTACAAAACTCTCAGAAGGAAACAATTTCTGAAACTCCCGGCAGCGCTGATGAGATCATCAAGGAGTATGATCACAGCTTTCAGAAGTTCCTTGCTAAAATCATAGATAGAAGCAAAATGGCTTCAATGATCTATGGAGTTAGCAGAAACGGCAGAAAGGGAATAGGATACCAAGGTAAGGTACCTACACCAAAGAATTCCATGGATCTAATTATTAAACGCACTCCTCTGAATTCACACTTTGTGTATGGTCACACACATGACATTAAATATACTAGTAGTAATTATTCTGTGAAACCAAAATTCAACCAGAGTTTTGGTATAGCTAACAAATCAGGACCCAAGAAAATATGGGTACCTAAGGATAAAATAATACATATTGCAGATATCTTTAGCAGCAAATCAGAAACACCAGTCATGGTACCTGGACTCTGGCTGCTCACGACACATGACGGGAAGAAGGCATATGTTCCAAAGCCTGGAACTTAAGCCTGGAGGCCACGTAGGCTTTGAAGGCAATCAGAGGGGAAAGATCATTGGCTCTGGAACAGTAGATAATGGAAATCTTCCCTCTATAAATAATGTTCTATTAGTAGATGGATTAATGCATAATCTGTTATCCATAAGTCAATTAAGTGATAACGGTTATGATATAATCTTTAATCAAAAATCATGTAAAGCTGTTAGTCAGAAAGATGGGACTATCCTATTTAATGGAAAGAGGAAAAACAACATTTATAAAATCAAACTTTCTGTACTGAAAAGTCAGAATGTAAAGTGTCTTCTGTCTGTTAACAACGAGCAATGGATCTGGCACAGAAGATTGGGGCATGTTAGTATGAGAAGAATATCTCAAATTAACAAACTCAATCTGGTCAGAGGACTTCCTAATCTGAAGTTCAATTCAGATGCTTTGTGTGAAGCATGTCAGAAAGGCAAGTTTGCAAAACCTGCTTTCAAATCTAAAAACGTTGTTTCCACCTCTAAGCCATTAGAACTTCTGCACATTGACTTATTTGGACCAGTTAAAACTGCTTCAGTCAGTGGCAAGAAGTACGGGTTAGTAATCGTAGATGACTATAGCAGATGGACATGGGTAAAGTTCTTAAGACACAAGGACGAGTCACACTCTGTATTTGTCACCTTCTGTAACCAAGTTCAGAATGAAAAGGATCTTAGAATCGTTAAAGTCAGAAGTGATCATGGTGGAGAATTTGAAAACAAAGATTTTGAGTCATTCTTTAATGACAGAGGCATTCTGCATGATTTCTCTTGTCCTAGAACTCCCCAGCAAAATGGAGTTGTAGAACGAAAGAACAGAACATTGCAAGAAATGTCTAGAACCATGATCAATGAGACAAACGTTGCTAAGATCTTCTGGGCAGAGGCAATA